GGAAAAATGGGCCCAACCAAAGAGGGCCCCAGACTACTGAAAAGCGCCCACAGCTGCTTGTCCAGTGGACACAATCTTTCTTATTTCAGACCCCAGTCTTTCGAGGACTCCATATGCAACTGTGACCAAACAGGTTAAAGTAGGGGAATGACTCAGTTATATGCATATGTAGGTAGAGAAGTTGCAAGAATTAATTATAACAATAATAGCTATTTTTTTTGTTTTTTGAGCTCTTTCTATGTGCCTGGCACTGTTCTCAGTGCTTACAGGTGTTGACTTATCTACTTTTTATTAACAGTAGGAATTTCAGGGGTGAAGGACCAAAGCAAAGACCGGTGAGATAATTTTGTCCAAGACCATCCAATTAGTAAGTGGTTGAGATTTGAACCCAGAGCTCATATTCTTTTACCTTTTCATTGTGGATAGTTAGGAGCAAGTAGAAGATAGTTCTTCTGTAGGCTATCAAACAAAGCCTCATTTAATGGCTCATATTATGATACCAAAACAAAAAACAAACCAAACACATTACCATCAAGTTGATTCCGACTCTTAGTGACAGAACTGCCCTGTAGGGTTTCCAAGGAGTGGCTGGTGGATTCAAACGGCTGACCTTTTGGTTAGCAGCTTAACCACTGCACCACCAGGGCTCCATATTATGATAAAGTGACCTCATTTCAAGACTATACGTTTGCGGTACAACCGTTTGACATTTTTTGGCTACTGTTGGTAGTTCATTTATTCAATACATGTTGATTGAGACCTTAAGCTCCAGGCATGATATAACTAGCTACTGTAAAGGACAGAGAGATTCCCATGATGTGGGCCCTGTCCCAAAATATCCTATGTTGAGAAAGGGTACATTTCTAGTTTAATCTAGTCATTCTGCTATATTGTTTTAGGTACTGGCTGATTCCTTATTGCTGACTTTCTCCTATGCTCTCATTCCATTATCTGGAAACATCCTCTGTAATTACAGGTCTTTTAATTCAAAACATCCGTACTTAATCAGAGTTCTATTCTAATTTCATATTAGGGATGGCAGTGACATAAAGGGTTTTTTTTTTTAATGTATAGATTTTTAAGGGTGATTGTTATTTAATATTGATGAAAGTACCTACTAAGTTCTCTTATTCCAAGTCTTAGAAGAAAGTCGCCAACAGCCAAGTGAGAACTGAATTGATTTACATCCCAGAGGAGGCTGCTCTTGTAGAGATGGAGAAAGCATTTGCCAATGTGCTAACAGGTTTCTTGACCCCAAAGCATTTCTCAGCCTGGCCAAAGTGTCTGCTTTGTCATCTTTAGAGACAGTTCTTTAGAGTAAGACATTGTTTCTCATGAAACTCCTGTTAAAATGCAGAAATGTTTAGCCCTGTAGGTTGTATTAATTGGTTGAGATAGTATTGCACAGTAAACATTTGCCAGAGCAAGGTTCAGAGAGAATGAGATCCAAGGCTAGTATGTTTTGATGAGGCATGAGAGGGGAAGAAGGTACCAGAAGATAAGAGATAGTCTTGAAAGGAAGCCAACTTCATCTCTTAATTATTTTGTCTAAATCCAGCTTTTCTGAGGAGAGGGGGGAAGGTATTATGGTTTGTCTTTTTGCTTAGGATGGCTTTATGGGGAGATTTCTGCTGTTAATCTTTTAAATAGCCTTCAGTGATAGAACTCCCTACTTTCTAATATGGCTCTACTTCTTCTGGTTAGCTCAGTTGAAACAAGATTGTTAGAACAAACAAGAGGTTGGCCCAGAAAGCAACAAGAGTTGCAAGACTCTGTCAGTCATTGCTTAGGTATTCATCAGTGCCAGGTAAGGCTAGAAGAGCCTTTTGGATTTGAATGTGCATGGCAATTATAATTTTTCTAGACCATAATGATGACTATTGATAGGAAATCTTATTTTTCCTCACAGTTAGTATATAATAAATAAAGAATTTGCAAATGAATAAAGTCAAATACTAAAGTCAATTGCTAAATGGTTAATTTTTATGTACCAACAGTTTGAATTTTTTTCCAGTTCTTCTGATAGAAAAATTTACTTCTTCCCTAGTATTTGGTGCAGTGAAGTGTTGAAAGAATTTGCTAAGTAATCATCGGAAGCTGAGATTCTAGAGAAAAGCAAAATGCATGGTTTAAAAATTGAACTTACTAACTAGAAGACACTGAAAATTAGATATTTCTTGTTGTAAATAATTAAACACAATAGTGCAGACAAGAGAAAACATGGCGCCAAGTGGGACTTGAGCTAAGAAGACTGAGTATTGTATTGAATACTTTCACTTTCCTGTAAGGGGTCTTCAATAGTTGATACTGATTGTGAATATGTGCAACAGAATCCCACTGTAATCCAGGTTTATTTTTCAAGCATTTTACTGTCATTGAAGGAATGAGAAATGAAGGGAAAATGTAGTTTTATGAAGGCCTTAGCACTCTTTCCCTTTAGGAGGTCCAGGCTTGATTTGTCAAGGCCACAGTCCAGAGCCCTCTTGTGCTGTTGGCTCATCTGTAGATCAGACAGTTGACTCTCTTTTTGTTTCACAGAAGCAGTGCATCTGCTAATTGAGAACTGGTTGACAAGAGACACATAGACTATTGTATTCTTTCTGATTTTCACTAACAGTGCTTGTTTTTATTAAAACCCCCTTCCCCCTTTTTTTGAGGTAGGGACAAGTAGATAGCCTTAATTTTACATCTGTAAAAAAGGGAATAAGATTTTACAGTTTTTATAAGGATGAGCTTTGAGTATTAGCAATAATGTAGTGCTTTATTTTATTTTTACAATTAACATAGGATAAAATTGACTTTGTACAGTTCTATTAATTTTAATACGTGTATAGATTTGTGCAACCACCACCACAAATGAGGAACAGAACTGTTCATCACCCTCCCCTCCAAGTGTTCCTAACTCATTTTTGAAGTAATTCAAAATAGCACAGATAATAAAGTTATGAGGCTAGTTTTTCTTTATTACCGTATTTTATGCAAATAACGCATGCTTTCTACATTTGTTTCCCAACCACTCCCTACCCCCAGGAAGTATTTTCTGTAAGTACTGCTATGCCAATTTTTTTTACATGTTGCTGTAAATAAAATTAGTATAGCGCATTTACAAAAACACTTGGTTGGGGGAAGGAAGGAGTGGTTGGTAAAAAGATGTAGAAGGTTAGTGTTATTTGCATAAAAATATGATAGAGAAACAAAACAAACAAAAAACCTCTGGAAAGATGGAGGATCTTTCAGTATAATCATATAAAAAAATATTACCCCAAACTTGGTTTCTTGCTAGTTTGGAATCTGCATAGAAAACACACTCAGAAATCTCCCTTGAAGAGGAGGACAGAGGTTTATTTTTTATTTAAAGATTTACCACTTGATGCCTGGAAAATGGTTAGTTGATGTTTTCAAAGAAGATTAAGTCACTGTGGTTAATTAACTGGTAATCAGATGACTTTAATCAATTAACTCCTTGTTAACCGTTTCCATCAGTTTTGTAAATAAATGACTAAATCAGTAAATTGTACTCCTAAGATTAGTATAGGTTCCTTCCTGATTTAGTTTATTGATGAAAATTAGTGATTTTCTCTTTCTCATCTCATCCTGTCCTTGCCCCAGCTCTTACTAATGAGAAAGCTTAAGCAAGCTTAGGTTTGAGAGGAACACACCAGGGTAACTTTTAATATATCGTTTTTTAAGGAAAAGTCAGGCTGCAGGACACCTTTGCTCCTTCACCTCAGCACATTTTGAAAGAATGATTTAGGAAAATGAAACTTAATAAGTAAGTGTGTACATAGTAACATTAAGGGAGAATGGGGGTGTAGCAACTAATGCTGACACTCACTCTTGGATAAACTTGTACAATTAAGTCTTTCAATGTTTTATTTTCTTCCTGGATGGGGGATATAATAAAATGAAACAGGGTTTGGCTCTTAGCTACAAGTAAATTTTAATGGATACCTTACATGCTCTATTTAGAGGGAATTTGTTGAACTATCTGGATATATTGATTGCATTAGTCTCTAAAACTTGATTGCATTTTTTGAAATACCATACAAATATACAACTAAAATGTTGTTACTTTTTAGAATCATTATTGAAAATTCTCTCCTCTGCTTACATGACTTTATTTTGTCCTGAAACATGTAAGCAGGAGCACTAAAAAAACTGTATTCTGTGACCTCAAATATACCAACGCATATTCTGAAAGGCATTGAATACTCATGGGATTTGCATTGTAAGATGTGGGTACTAAAGGGTTGTTTAGGATTGCTTCAAGGAGGAATATTTGGCATCTTGAATAACTTTTAAGGATTTAGTAAACCTTTATGTAGTTGAAAAAATCCTATGTTAAAATGATTCAATTTTTATAGAGTATTAAAGAGAAAATTCCTACAGTTTCCTTGAAGGTATAGAAAACCAAAAACCAAATCCACTGCCATCCAGTCCATTCTGACTCATAGCAAGCCTGTAGGACAGAGCAGAACTGCCCCATAGGTTTCCAAGGCTGTAATCTTTACAGAAGCAGATTGCCACATTGAGGAGCAGGTGGTGGGTTCGAACCACCGACCTTTCGGTTAGCAGCCAAGTGCTTAACCAGTGTGCCACCAGGGCTCCTTTGAAGGTATAGAAGGTAGCCTGAACTATGGGAATGAGTTGAGACCAGTAATCTAAATTTAAATCCCAGGTGGCCAAGCAAAACTTTGGGCTTTTCCTAGCATTATAGAAGTTCTCTAGCCATTCCCCCATTGCCCTTCCTCCACCCCTGCCCACAGATCAGCTGTCTCAGCAGATTCTCCCTGGGACATGGTTAATCTGTGGCCGAACCCTTTCTGGTGTTGGGATACAACCTGGACCTGGAGCCTGAGGATTTAGCCCGGCCACTTTGCAGTGGGGGCAGAGAGGGGATGAGATCATCCTCCAGGAGCTTCAGTTTCCTAGACTATACAATAGGGGTTAGCAATTTCTACCTTACAGGTTCTTGGGAAGATTTAAAGGACATTGTGAGCATGCAAGGTTCTGCACTTGGTGAGTATTCAGTAAACATTTGGCCCCACGGGGAACCTGTGCTAAATCATTCATAGTTGACCAGTCTTGGGTAGGTCAGCGCCGCAGAGCAGCCACCATGCTGTGGTCTTTTGAAATAAAGAAACCACTTGTCAAATTCCCTATCCGTAGAACTTGCTGGTGGAAAAAACAGCTTATTTTAGGAGGTAAAACTGTTGGGGAAGAGTGTGGCAAGTGGATGAGGGAATACAAACCTCTTCTCAACGAATATGAATCAAGACACTTTGAGGTACACCTTTCCTTATGCATCATTGCTAATTTTAGGTCCTTACTTAGACTAGACACAGTTTAGGTAAAGATTCTGTAACGTTTATTGAACATATACTCAATAAAATAAATGAATAAACCAATTTTAAGAAGAAAAGGAGAAATACATTTGCTTTGTGCACTTAAAACAGTTTATTAAATCTCAGAATATACCCTTTGGAAATATTTTTGCCAGGTGAGTAGAATATTGGCAAATTATCAACCTCAGGTGTTTTTTAAAATATATAAAGTGTTTGGTGACATTTGTTTAAACTTAGAGTGACCCTATGGATTGGGAGAAGCTCTCATTTGACAGCAAAACAGTTGGTGTTCCATAAATACCTGGTGAATTGACCTGACTCCACGAAGGCAGTGAGTAGCTTTAGAGGATGTCATAGATCTTGAAAATTTACATCTGTTATTTCACATGAGGGAATCAGCCTCAAGCACAATCTTTGTAATATTAAGGGATCTGTCAGTGACATAGGATGAAGAACGTGGCTTTATCCTGGTCATGCCTTGCACTTTTCCTACCTCTTTGCTAGTTCTAGTTTTTTCCCTCTGCCAAGCATACCCTCCCCTCCGACCCACGTCTTCCTAGCTTAAGTGCTCCTTCCTCCACATTGCCTTTCTTGATCTCCGCTGAATGTTATCTGAACCTCTTTTACAACACCTGTCATCATACCGTGAATTATAATTATTTGTATATGTACTTTATCTCTTCCTCTAGAGTAGGACCACTGATGCTAAGAGTGAGTCATGCTTGCCTCCTCTGGTATCCTATGTCTGGCACAGGGCCATGCATAAACAGGAAATCTTTGTTGAATGGAAAGGTAAAAGAACAACATGAGTTGTAGTAAAGCATCTTCATCACGTATAGATAGTGATCGACTTGGTCTACTCTGGGCTTTTGTAGCAAAGACAACTGTTTGGCTTGAAGAAGATAAACTTTTTTTTTTTTTTTTTGGCATTTTTTTATTGTACTTTAGGTGAAGGTTTACAGAACAAATAAGTTTCTCATTAAACAGTCAGTACACATATTGTTTCATGACATTGGTTAACAACCCCACGACGTGTTAGCCCTCTCCCTTCTCGATGTTTTTTTTGGTGAAAATATACACAGCCAAAGATACACCATTTCAAAAATTTCTACATGCACAGTTCAGTGACATCGATTACATTCTTCCAGTTGTGCTGCTGTTCTCTCTTTAGATGAAGGTTTACAGAACAAAATAGTTTCTCATTAAACAGTTAGTACACATGTTCCCCTATGACAATGGTTGACAACCCCACTACATGTCAACACTGTCCTTACTCAACCTTGGATTCCCTATCATCAGCTTTCCTGTCCTCTTCTGCCTTCTAGTCCTTGTCCCTGGACAGCTGTGCCTCATTAGTCCCCTTTTGTTTTATGGGGCTGTCCAATCCCCGGCTGAACAGTGAACCTTGGAAGTGACTTCACCACTGAGCTAAAAGGGTGTCTGGGGGCCATACTCTTGGGGTTTCTCCAGACTCTTTCAGACCAGTAAATCTGGTAAGAAGATAAACATTTATGTCTGTCTCACACCTAGCAGTAGAGGGCTGGTCTGGAAGTTCCAAGGATCCAGCCACCTATCTTGCTGTCCCACCATCCTCTGCTGGTAGCTTGCATTCTTAAGGACACCTCATTGTCCAAGATGACTGCTGTAGCCATAGCCATCTCTTGTCTATGTCAGATAGTATGAAGGGAGGAAGGAAAAGAAGGGTGTGCCTTCTTCCAGAAGTCCTAAACAACACTACTGCTTACATCTGATCTCATTGATCAAACTTGGTCCCATGACCACACCTAGCTGAAGAGAGGTTGGGCAATGTAGCCGTATAGCTGAGCACATTTTCAACCTGAGTAAAGTTGTGACTTCTGTTACTGATGAGGAAGGGAAGAATCAATGTTGTGGTAGGCCACTAGTGTCCTGGCCACAGCTGTTCCGGTGACGCTGAGCATCTTGTGTTCAGCTTTAAAGCCCACATTTTGAGATGAGTCATAGACAATTTGAACTGAGTTTGGAGGATAGAGATGAGGATGATGAGAGAACTGTAAACCATGTTATGTGAGGAATGATGGAAAAGCTAGGGATGTTTCATTTGGAGAAGAGAATAATCAGAAACAAAATGACTAGCACCATCATGAGGAAGAACAATAAAACATTCTGAATGTCTCCAAAGGGTAGAACTAGACCAGTGGTAGGAAATTATAAGCATATAGCATGTGCCAAAAGAATGCTAGAAGTTGACTTTTAACCTTTGATCTTATATAGCAGAAATGTATGTAACATGTACCTCTGTGGTTTTGAGGTTAGAAACATTGCTGCTTCTCTGGTTTCTGCATATCAGAATCCTCTTTATTCATGGTTGTTATGGTGACACCATTAGCAGTCTACGTTTTGAAAAAGCTCTGGATTTTTTCTTTTGTGAGATGTGGCATCTATGTTTCCTCCATTCTTGGCCTTTTTCAAAATGTCATCCAGTCAAAAACTCCAGGAAGAAGTGAGGAGAATTTTTAAATTTGGATGCTGATGTCAGGGTTTAGTAATACTGTAATGTGTAGCTTAATAATTCAGTAAATGTCACTAATAATGTCTTTGGATTATCTATGTTGAGGCAACTGGTCATTATTATTCAGTTAAATACAAGGAGCCCCGGTGGCACAGTGGTTAAGAGCTCAGCTGCTAACCAAGAGGTCAGCAGTTCAAATCCATCAGTCACTCCTTGGAAACCCTATGAGGCAGTTCTGTTCTGTCCTATAGGGTCGCTGTGAGTCGACTCAGTGACAACTGGTTAAACACAAGTTCTTTATTATTACTAAATGTTTTAAACACTCTTGAAAAGTAATTATTGACAATGTCTTAAGAACAGAGCTATGATCAGCCAGAGAAATTATGTGCCAAAGAGTTTATTTCATTAAGTTGTTGTTGTTAGCTGCCATGGGGTTGGCCCCCAACTCATGGTGACCCATGCACAATGGAATGAGTTACTGCCCAGTCCTGTGCCATCCCCAGGATCAGTGATCCATAAGGTTTTACTTTACTAATTTGTCTATCTTTGTGAATTCTATTTTTCTAATTCACTTTCATTTTGAATACAGATGTGTTTTCTTTTTTAATCTCTGGTATAAGGAGAGAGATGATAATTCAAAATGAAGATGATATTTTAGTAATAACTTAATACTCAGCTTTTTGTGGGTGGAGGGATAACATTATAATTAGGTTAATTAAAAAAAAAAAATCTCAGTCCAGGTTTCAGATTATGAATATAGGAGAGCAAAGAGGACCTGGGTGGTAAAAATGGTTAAGCACTCAACTAATAGCTGAGAGGTTGGCAATTCGAACTCATCCGGATGCACCTCAGAAGACAGGCCTGGCAATCAGCTTCCAACAGATCACAACCTTGAAAAACCCTGTGGAACAGTTCTACTCTGGATACATGGGGTCGCCATGAGTTGGAATCGATTCGAAGACAACTAACAACAATAACAGTACAAGCAAATATATATGAAATAGAAAAAAAAGTTTAAATTTCCAAAGGAAGCAATCTTATATGTAGTTTAAAAGATCAGAAAACACTTGTCTAAAAAGTAGTAATAGGCAACATTTGTTGAACACTTACTTACGTGCTAGGCCTTATTATCTCATTCTGTTCTCGTTATGCCCATTTTTAGATAAGAAAACTGAGGCACAAAGAGATGAAATAACATGCCCACCACAGGGTTAGTTAAAAGGGTTGTATCCTGGGGTTTCAACTCAGGCTGTATGACTCAAGGTATTTAACACTCTGGAAAGTTACTTGACATCTAAGCATTCTCCCCCCACCCCCTGAAATTTTATAATAGTATATGAAGCATGCAGACATCTCAACCTACTGTAGAAGCTGTTGGCTTTTAGATATGCTGAGTTGAATGAATAAATGAAAGGAAATACAGAATCTTATAATTGAAGAAATGATGTATTCAAATTTAGTAGGCATTGAACCAATAGGGTGGCAAATTTATCGAAACATGTTGAGTTAATCAAGTGGTAGAAAACAAACACATGGCCAAATAAGCACTATATACAGTGCACTTTTAGGAATGAGAATCAAGTTAATTTCTTGATCAATTAGCTTTGTAACATTGGGCTTCCTTGTATGTGGGGGTCTACATGCACATATACGTATATATTTCACATTGGTTAAAATTGGTAAATCTTGTGTTTCCAGTGGAAGGCCTTTCTTGAGTTAGAAATAGTTGAGTGAAGTGTTTCAGCTTACAAAAAACCAAATCTATAGTGTTTCAATAAATCATTGCTGACTCTGTTTAGGCTTTTGAAGTCATTGCTTTTGCAATATTTCCTTAGGGCCTTTTTCTTCAGCTGAGATTAATCTAAAACATGTTACTGATCCAGAGATGTCACCAAGTTCTCCTGGAAAGCCCTTGGACGGTATTTTAACCGGCCTGTGCTTTTATGGAAGAATGCTATCTCACTGCTGACGAGGTTTCTGGCAACAGCAAAGATGGCTTTATACACGTACCATAACCTATATGGTACGATATTAGGAGCCCTGATAAGATACTCTATCCTCCTAAAATCTGCCCCGTAAGTTGGTAAGGAAGGTATTTGAGCATTAGAGGATGCCTAAAATGCCACAATTAGAAAATTTATTTTTCTTTGAGGGCTTCCTATTTTCCGTTAAAGTGCGAGTAC